GGGGGAGAAATGAAAATCATATAAAAATTAAAGTCCACCATAATGCAATCAATTAAGATAGGGTTCTAATTTGCAAACCAAACCACCACCCAACGGTTCATGTAATGTAACCACTTGATCAAGCAATATACGAATCGTAGCAAGATTCTCCAAGAACCAAGTTATCGTAGTTTCCCACACAGAACACTCATCGGCGTAAGTTCATCGACAGAAAGAAACAAAAGGAATTAAATTACATGAAAGTTGAGAGTAAAATATCTTCACGTACAAATAAAAATAAATAATAGCCGAATGATGTAAGCTTTGGGAGCAGTGAAGATAGGAAGAAAGAAAGTAAAATACCAAAGAAGGGTGAATATGCGTGAATTTGGAGAAGAAGGGAAGAAAATGAAGAAAGGCGATCGGGTGTGGGAATGAAATTGGGAGAAGAAAGCGGCGAAGGTGGTGGAATCACGGTGCGTGTGCAGTGGTGATTGGGGAAATGGAAAGGAAGAGTGAAAACCCTAACATGGTTGGAGGATTGGGATTGGGAGCGGTAAGGCTCAGGAGGAAGATGGCACAAGATAGGAAGAAATAAAATTATGGTTGGCACCCGCCTCTTTTATACTCATTCTTAAAATCCTTATTTTAAACAAAATAAAAACAAATATATTTCTTCTCACTAGTAACACCAACCCACTATTCAATCCTTTTCCTCAATCATTTCAACTCTTACGTGTCAATGCTTCTTCTTCTTCCCCACTTAAATTAAATCACATTTATTCTGTTGCCTTTGCATTTCCTGCTTCTAGCTTTCATTAAATTAAAACCTCTCAATCATTATTAGACTGGTCCGCTTATATGAGATCATATATTTTCATTTCAGTATCATCATTATTTACGGGAAAAAAATTAAGTATTAAATTTAGAAAAATCAATGATAAAAATATAAAGTAACTTTTACATTCTCATTCAGTTTTAAATCATCCTTTTATGATAAATAGTTTATTTATCATACTATTAAAAGTAATATATAATTAGTTGATAGTATAACTACACTTTTAGTACATTTGAAATAAAATTGTTTCAGAATAATTATATTTCTATATATCGTGTATAAAAATACTATAAAAGATATGAGTAGTGTTTATTAAAAAAAACTTATTTTACATATTATTTATTTAACTTTTAATGAAATATTAGGATAATTAATAAGGAAGAGTGTTAATATTATTCACCGCTACACTCTTCTTAACACATGATTAATTATTAGTTAAAATTTAAATTATGAAATTAGAAAAGAAACTTGTTAAATGAGAAATAAACTTATAAAAAAATTATTTTTAATAAATTTCACTCGACGGTAAAAGTGAGTTAAAAAATTGTTGATATTTCTTAATATATAAGATATTAGATGCAACGTTAAGTCGACAATCTTATTTAGTTATTTATAATAGGGTTGATTCTGAATTCTTGTGTTGATATTTAGTTTAAAATAAATAAATAAAAACTAAATATGACGGATTCGCTTCGGTTTAAAGATCTATCGAGTTAAGTATCAACTTAAATTAAGAATTCACTTCGCAATTATATTAGTTTAGGTTATTTATTATAATTGAATAACGATGCTTTGATTAATCGAATAAACGGCCAGATACTCTGTTTCAACTTCTAACGTACAAGAGTCATTTATGAAATTCTTTCAAATTTAATAACCCTAACTACTCATATTCAATGCAACTTCATTCAATGCACATTTTTGTTTTTTGCACTTAATAAAACGTTGTTTGTATTTTTTCTATACATTTTTTTTATACATAAAACGTTGTTTATATGACGTTGTATAATTTGTATCATGATTCATGAACTAACAACTTGCACGGGTAAAACATTGGTTAAGTATAATATTTTTATAAAAATATTTAATATTTACTTAAATAATTGAGAATATTTAATAAAATATACAAATTACTTTTTAACCAATAGTCTTATAAGACATTAATGAGGATGTATTTATTACACAAACCGTTGTTTAAGGTGAGATATGCGTGACTGAATGAGAGAGTTTTGCTGCATGGAACTACGATTTGGAAGGGAAACACATGGAACGGGGGTTGAGTGTTTGAGTATAGAAAACTCATAAAAGGCACAGAAAATGGGGGAATCTGTTGTTAGAAGAAAACGAGGGTTGTGCAGTGACAGGATTTTCATGCTTCCAAGGTCACAAAACGTGGTGCTTAAGCAAAGTACTATGTGCTATAATTATAAATCAATTACCCTATCATGACAATTTCCTTATCACGTGAACCAAGGAATATTGCTCACACCATAACAATTAACAAATAACCGCTACCTCATCTCATGCTTTTTATTGTGTGTACACTAACTTTTCATCAATAAAGTTGATTTCACGTTTGATTGTGAAGTCACCATTCTATATAAATATGTTGTAAATCAATGTTTCAAATCTGTGCCACTACAAGCAGCACTTCTTCGGCCTTCAAATTCATCTTTGCAATTTAGCACTAGCATGGCAAGGACCCAAGATCATGTCTAGAGAATGCTTGAATTGAAAGTTGATTAGAAAGTGGGTTCATCTTATTTAATGTCATTACTTATTCTGTGAATCTTCGTTAGCCATAAGTCATAACAAGGAGAACAGAGTAGGTGTAGTTTCAATTTAGTAACAGCAACCATGTGATAAAGTAAACCAACATAACATGATAATTAAAAAAGCGAAGATGCTTAATGAAATGATAACGAAATTAAATTCTGTGAAATTTGATTTGATGAAAATATACTAGAGTTATTGGTCCCCTCCTCTTACATTCGCATGCAGTAGGTAAAACATTGTTGTAATTTGTATGACAAATATATTAGCGAAAGTATATTTGTTTGAAGTTTGAAGAAATGAATAATTTCCACTATAATGTAATATTATAGTAGCATGAGGAAGTGAGAGATGAAAGACTGAATTTAAGTCATATGATATATGTGTGTCGTAAGTGGTGTGGCCATGAGACACAGAAGAAGCATTAATAAGAAGGAGGTACAAATAGTAGGGTATTTGGCAATATCTGGTCAGGGGCTTCTAGTTTAACCTTTTCCGACAGTCGTGCGGCGGGGTACTCCCCACGTGAGGTGACTGTCATGTTGTCAAATGTTAACCTTGTGTGCATGGTCGGGGTTATTTGGAAGCGTCCACCCATGAATTTTTGTAATTTTTAATTTTGATCAAGAAGGAATTTTTTCTTCTTCCAAACACACATCTCAATATTAAAAGAGAATTTTGGGTGATTTACACATATAAAATAATAATAATTTAATAAAATTAGCCCCTCATGATTTATAATGAATTAGGTTTTCTGTTTTTACATAACAAATTGAGGATTCAATATAATAGATGTGTTTTGGCTAGTTCTGGAAACAGTAAAAAATGATGAAATGGATCCGCGGTGAGCATAAGCATGGGTCTTAAACCTTATCTTGAAATCGAAATAGGGTGATGGTTGTAAAAGATGAGTGGAGAAGGAGAATCAAGGAAAGTGAGAAAAATAGAGACGCCAGTGATAATAGCGATGAAGGGACACCCAGGAAGTGGGAAAAGCACGTTAGCAAAGTGCATAGCCTCATCTCTTAAAATCGCTTTATTAGACAAAGACGATATAAAAGACTGCACCGTCTCCTTGCAGCCTCACCTAACCCTAACCTCACCGGGCTCCATCCTCAACGACCTCTCCTACCACGCCATCTGGCAGGTCGCCTCCACCCAGCTCCGCCTCCGCCTCAGCGTCATCCTCGACTCCCCCCTCTCCCGCCGCGCCCACCTCGACCACCTCCGCCGCCTCGCAGACTCCGCCGCCGCCCGCCTCCTCCTCATCGAGTGCAGGCCCGCCGACCGCGCCGAGTGGCGCCGGAGGCTGGAGGAGCGCGGCGGCGGCGGAGGCGGACACAAGCCGGCCTCGTGGGAGGAGCTGGAGAAGCTTGTGGAAGGGTACGCGGGATGCACGGAGTACGACGTGGGCGACGTGCCCAAGCTGGTGGTGGATACAACCGCTAAAGTGCCTTTGGAGGAGATATGTTCCGCTGCATTGGACTTCATCTACGCTCACGCTGAGGTTTAGCCACGTGCCTTTCATCCTTACTATTCATGCCACTCAGGGTGGATTGATGGACTTAGATACGTAAGTCTGTGGATAATAGATTTTTTTTTTTTTTTAAATTTGTATGATTATGCTTAATTTTTTAATTTGAGCTTGAACTTCACGAATTTAATCTACAAACTTTATTAATTAATATTTTTAAATATTAATATTTTAATATTAAATTATATATTTAATTTTTTAAATTATTATAATATTAAAATTATATTTAATTAGTTTGTATTTTTATTTTAATATTTAGTATTTTAATTATTAATAAATTTTAATATGATGAAATTTAGTTTATAAATAAAAAATATTTTTTTCTTTTAATTTTATATATTTTTATTTTTTAAAGATACAGTTTTATATTATTATTTAGATCAGATTCGTTTATTTCCGAAGGAATTTATCCTGTCCGTATAAAACTCATAAAACATGAGTTTTATAGGTCAAATCTTAAACGGGCAGCTGTGTATATATTGTCACTATGGTAATATCCTCTTCATTTTTCCTAGTCTTTGTAAATTTCACATTTTTTCTTCTTATAATTTCAAATATAAGAATATATAATGAACTTTTATTCTTATAGCAAACAAACTATAAAATAAAGTTTGTAAAATTATAGAAATAAAAATAAAGTGAAAGAAATTTTAAAAATAGTATATAATTAGAGGAATGATTTGTGTACTCTAATTTAAATTTATTTTATTTAATAATTTATTTTATTTAATAATTTATGTTCTACATCAAATTTCAACAATTTATCTATTAGATTTAAAATTCTTAAGAAAAAAATTAAGTATTTAAATTTTTAACAAGTTTAAAAATTATTTTATATTTTATTT